TCGCGTGTTTTTCGACATGATCTTCTTGTTGGGTGTGAATACTTAGGTACCTTCACCTTGTGAAGATGTTCATTCTTGTGCATACCTAGGTAATTTGTGATGTTTTGTTTTGTTGTTATCTGTCTTTGTGCGAGAGCGGATGAAAATCATTATCATAGTCCTCGTGAGAAGCACAAGCAGCAAACTCAGACCAAAAAATTGTAATCTCATGATCATGGTGCCGCTATCTAAGTAGACAAAGACTGCTCTTCTAGTAAGCATCCTGGAGGTGATCTTCCTAATACTCCTGCTTGCAAAGATCCTTACAGTTGTCTACAAAGATGCTGCAGATATGTATAACTGAGTTACCGAGTATTCATGAGTCGTGTGGTGCCTATCGTTATCTGCTGCAGGCGACGAAGATGACATTAATAACACGCTGCAAGCTCCTAGAATTCAGCGGATCGGACCACTGGTGCTACCTCGTGCAGGTGGAGAGGAAAGCCTGTCTGTCCTGTAATAAATACCAACATCCATGTGAATCCCAGTAAGAAAATGGCGCAGCTTGTGCTTGAATTATGCACTTGTTTGAAGTTGTGAAACAGCAGCACCTTATGCTTTTTCATTGTAAATGCGAAGTATCACTGACAGACAAGGTTCAAAAATCTGAGATTGATACAACTACCTAAAACTACTGATGCCATCTAAATGGTTCGATTGTGAAAGCATCTTAAAATGATCGAAATCCAGTGCAGTAAAAGGCGCTGTAATGATTTTCAAGAGAATCGCGCATATCCATGATTTTCATCAGATTCGTGATGTCTGTCAAAGCGCTCGTCAGGAAATGAATATCAATTTTAGGCGATATAACTGAAAATTCTTGGATATAAGAAAGATTTTGAAATTCAAAATTATGAAATTCATGAAAATCTTAGAATTGAACAATCTTTTAGACTCTTAGGACTTCAGAACTCTAAAGTTTTATAGATTCAACGTCTCAAAGTTTCAAACTCTCATAGTTTCAACGTCTCAAAGTTTCAAACTCTCCTAGTTTCAACGTCTCAAAGTTTGAAACTCTCATAGTTTCAACGTCTATAAGTTTCAAACTTCCAAGTCGTGAAAGATTCCACGATTGAGACTTTCAAAATGGAAGATTCAAACTCTCAAAAAACTATAGAGAAATCTGTAGCAATGTTCGACAAACAACATCAAAGAATGGCATGATGCATTATGATGAGAACAGTCACGTATTTTGATCCTAAATCCTGAAGACTCTCAAAAGAGATAGAGCATAACTATCTGCGCCACTTCTTGACAAACTGCGATCGAGAAGTGAGTACTGCTCCCTCTATGTATCGTTTCGTCCCTAGTGCTATCATTTGTGATAACACAGGCATCGAACCGCAGTAACGCCATTCATCGTATCTTTTCATCTATCTCAAAACAGCTACTAACTCTCGTAACAGCGCCTCTTGATGTCCACGATAAGGATCCTGGAAATGTAAGTTATAGTCAGAGAGCAATAACCATTCGCAGCGAAAACACATGCCCATTTTGCTCCAAGGATACCCAACTCGCTATTCGCTTCTGATTCCTCATCACTCGATCCTTCATTATGCTCCTCTTAGGTAGGTGCTTTCCGGGGCGGCAAATTCTGGGAGTGTATGTCGCTTGGTGCAATCTCCTTGCTATGGTTAGAGCGCGCATTGTTTCATCTACTCGGTCCTCCCCATCTCGGTATCCCTACTCTTGTACTCAATGCGACGGCGTGGTCGTTGTATTTTTGGTTCGTGTAGTTTTTGACATCTTGTCGTTCCGTGTAAATACTAACTTGGAGGTAACTTGTGAAGATGTTCGTTGTGAATAGCGACGTACTGTGTGATGTCCGGTTCTTTTGTTGTACTTAAATTTGCGAAAGCGATCACGTTCACCTTCACGTCTAATACTGCTCTTCGAGTTGTTCACACAAAAAACCTGGACTTCTTGGAGAAGGATCTCCCCTATTCTTGCAAGGATTCAGAGAATTATCTTCCTTATGATCCTCAGAGTAAGCCATCTAATCCTTCCTTATCAAAACTCGATAACCTAATCGATCCTTCCTTATTCAAACTTGGTATCCGTCTAGTAACTCTACTCTTGCTATTCTGCAGGGCACAGTAGGTATGAGAACGAAAGCTTCGTCTCCTCCTGAGCCAAGCCGCGATATTGATAACTTCTAAGAAGCTGAAGCAGTTGTACAACTACCAAGTCCAGAAAAGTTTTGATCATTCTACATTCTCCTTCGTCATGCAGTAGTAGTAGTAGTAACAGTAGCTAACCCAATCCTGGGGTACAGTCCAAAAAGCATGGGTGGATTGGAGTTCATTACCCTGCTAGTGGAGGCACTTAGTAGACATATTTTCTGTTTCTCTGACTCTGAATGCTGTACTCCATAAAAGTTGACTACCCTCTCCCTTAGGCTGGCAAGCCTCCGCCATATTTCTGCGTGAACGGGTCCAACACCACGTGTCTGAAACTCCTCAAAGGAAGAGACTGCTTCCACCAACATTTAGACCCTTCTACCCATTCACCAACATCTATTCAGATACTTTTTCTACCAACATATAATTTCTTATTTTCTTCAAAAGCAGCATACTTACTTTACTGAGGTGTTTTTCTCGTCAAGAAGGCACCAAAGAAAGATGCTTCATATTTAAGTAAGACGAGGAGTTAGAGAAAGCCTTAAAACGTTGACTTGTCGGTGACAAGTTGGCTTTTGTCTTTACTCTGTACCGAAGTCGTACATGCCGGCAGTTCATGCTCTTTAGCTTTAGCTCCTTTTTTAGATAGTGAGCGTGAGCAGGAAGCCTTTTGTTAGTACAATGTAATCAAGCTGGAGCTACACATTGCGACGCGCGACGGCTACTATCCACCAAATTATATTGATATTTGTTTCTAGTATAATCGTGCGACTTGTATCATCGTGTGTCAAACCTCTACTACGCCCTTGTGGCAGTCTGCTGCACATAACTGCGATACGAAACTCATATGTTTCTGCGGTTTTCTCTGTGACTAACTTGCGCTGCGCAAGCAATCCCTGTATTGCTGCCCGATCCGATGACGACAGCTTCATCTTGCTAGTCGGAGGCGTGGGCGTCGTATTTTGTTTTGGTCGTCGCGTGTTTTTCGACATGATCTTCTTGTTGGGTGTGAATACTTAGGTACCTTCACCTTGTGAAGATGTTCATTCTTGTGCATACCTAGGTAATTTGTGATGTTTTGTTTTGTTGTTATCTGTCTTTGTGCGAGAGCGGATGAAAATCATTATCATAGTCCTCGTGAGAAGCACAAGCAGCAAACTCAGACCAAAAAATTGTAATCTCATGATCATGGTGCCGCTATCTAAGTAGACAAAGACTGCTCTTCTAGTATGCATCCTGGAGGTGATCTTCCTGATACTCCTGCTTGCAAAGATCCTTACAGTTGTCTACAAAGATGCTGCAGATATGTATAACTGAGTTGCCGAGTATTCATGAGTCGTGTGGTGCCTATCGTTATCTGCTGCAGGCGACGAAGATGACATTAATAACACGCTGCAAGCTCCTAGAATTCAGCGGTTCGGACCACTGGTGCTGCCTCGTGCAGGTGGAGAGGAAAGCCTGTCTGTCCTGTAATAAATACCAACATCCATGTGAATCCCAGTAAGAAAATGGCGCAGCTTGTGCTTGAATTATGCACTTGTTTGAAGTTGTGAAACAGCAGCACCTTATGCTTTTTCGTTGTAAATGCGAAGTATCACTGACAGACAAGGTTCAAAAATCTGAGATTGATACAACTACCTAAAACTACTGATGCCATCTAAATGGTTCGATTGTGAAAGCATCTTAAAATGATCGAAATCCAGTGCAGTGAAAGGCGCTGTAATGATTTTCAAGAGAATCGCGCATATCCATGATTTTCATCAGATTCGTGATGTCTGTCAAAGCGCTCGTCAGGAAATGAATTTCAATTTTAGGCGATATAACTGAAAATTCTTGGATATAAGAGAGATTTTGAAATTCAAAATTATGAAATTCATGAAAATCTTAGAGTTGAACAATCTTTTAGACTCTTAGGACTTCAGAACTCTAAAGTTTTATAGATTCAACGTCTCAAAGTTTCAAACTCTCATAGTTTCAACGTCTCAAAGTTTGAAACTCTCATAGTTTCAACGTCTATAAGTTTCAAACTTCCAAGTCGTGAAAGATTCCACAATTGAGACTTTCAAAATGGAAGATTCAAACTCTCCAAAAACTATAGAGAAATCTGTAGCAATGTTCGACAAACAACATCAAAGAATGGCATGATGCATTATGATGAGAACAGTCACGTATATTGATCCTAAATCCTGAAGACTCTCAAAAGAGATAGAGCATAACTATCTGCGCCACTTCTTGACAAACTGCGATCGAGAACTGAGTACTGCTCCCTCTATGTATCCTTTCGTCCCTAGTGCTATCATTTGTGATAACACAGGCATCGAACCGCAGTAACGCCATTCATCGTATCTTTTCATCTATCTCAAAACAGCTACTAACTCTCGTAACAGCGCCTCTTGATGTCCACGATAAGGATCCTGGAAATGTAAGTTATAGTCAGAGTGCAATAACCATTCGCAGCGAAAACACATGCCCATTTTGCTCCAAGGATACCCAACTCGCTATTCGCTTCTGATTCCTCATCACTCGATCCTTCATTGTGCTCCTCTTAGGTAGGTGCTTTCCGGGGCGGCAAATTCTGGGAGTGTATGTCGCTTGGTGCAATCTCCTTGCTATGGTTAGAGCGCGCATTGTTTCATCTACTCGGTCCTCCCCATCTCGGTATCCCTACTCTTGTATTCAATGCGACGGCGTGGTCGTTGTATTTTTGGTTCGTGTAGTTTTTGACATCTTGTCGTTCCGTGTAAATACTAACTTGGAGGTAACTTGTGAAGATGTTCGTTGTGAATAGCGACGTACTGTGTGATGTCCGGTTCTTTTGTTGTACTTAAATTTGCGAAAGCGATCACGTTCACCTTCACGTCTAATACTGCTCTTCGAGTTGTTCACACAAAAAACCTGGACTTCTTGGAGAAGGATCTCCCCTATTCTTGCAAGGATTCAGAGAATTATCTTCCTTATGATCCTCAGAGTAAGCCATCTAATCCTTCCTTATCAAAACTCGATAACCTAATCGATCCTTCCTTATTCAAACTTGGTATCCGTCTAGTAACTCTACTCTTGCTATTCTGCAGGGCACAGTAGGTATGAGAACGAAAGCTTCGTCTCCTCCTGAGCCAAGCCGCGATATTGATAACTTCTAAGAAGCTGAAGCAGTTGTACAACTACCAAGTCCAGAAAAGTTTTGATCATTCTACATTCTCCTTCGTCATGCAGTAGTAGTAGTAGTAACAGTAGCTAACCCAATCCTGGGGTACAGTCCAAAAAGCATGGGTGGATTGGAGTTCATTACCCTGCTAGTGGAGGCACTTAGTAGACATATTTTCTGTTTCTCTGACTCTGAATGCTGTACTCCATAAAAGTTGACTACCCTCTCCCTTAGGCTGGCAAGCCTCCGCCATATTTCTGCGTGAACGGGTCCAACACCACGTGTCTGAAACTCCTCAAAGGAAGAGACTGCTTCCACCAACATTTAGACCCTTCTACCCATTCACCAACATCTATTCAGATACTTTTTCTACCAACATATAATTTCTTATTTTCTTCAAAAGCAGCATACTTACTTTACTGAGGTGTTTTTCTCGTCAAGAAGGCACCAAAGAAAGATGCTTCATATTTAAGTAAGACGAGGAGTTAGAGAAAGCCTTAAAACGTTGACTTGTCGGTGACAAGTTGGCTTTTGTCTTTACTCTGTACCGAAGTCGTACATGCCGGCAGTTCATGCTCTTTAGCTTTAGCTCCTTTTTTAGATAGTGAGCGTGAGCAGGAAGCCTTTTGTTAGTACAATGTAATCAAGCTGGAGCTACACATTGCGACGCGCGACGGCTACTATCCACCAAATTATATTGATATTTGTTTCTAGTATAATCGTGCGACTTGTATCATCGTGTGTCAAACCTCTACTACGCCCTTGTGGCAGTCTGCTGCACATAACTGCGATACGAAACTCATATGTTTCTGCGGTTTTCTCTGTGACTAACTTGCGCTGCGCAAGCAATCCCTGTATTGCTGCCCGATCCGATGACGACAGCTTCATCTTGCTAGTCGGAGGCGTGGGCGTCGTATTTTGTTTTGGTCGTCGCGTGTTTTTCGACATGATCTTCTTGTTGGGTGTGAATACTTAGGTACCTTCACCTTGTGAAGATGTTCATTCTTGTGCATACCTAGGTAATTTGTGATGTTTTGTTTTGTTGTTATCTGTCTTTGTGCGAGAGCGGATGAAAATCATTATCATAGTCCTCGTGAGAAGCACAAGCAGCAAACTCAGACCAAAAAATTGTAATCTCATGATCATGGTGCCGCTATCTAAGTAGACAAAGACTGCTCTTCTAGTATGCATCCTGGAGGTGATCTTCCTGATACTCCTGCTTGCAAAGATCCTTACAGTTGTCTACAAAGATGCTGCAGATATGTATAACTGAGTTGCCGAGTATTCATGAGTCGTGTGGTGCCTATCGTTATCTGCTGCAGGCGACGAAGATGACATTAATAACACGCTGCAAGCTCCTAGAATTCAGCGGTTCGGACCACTGGTGCTGCCTCGTGCAGGTGGAGAGGAAAGCCTGTCTGTCCTGTAATAAATACCAACATCCATGTGAATCCCAGTAAGAAAATGGCGCAGCTTGTGCTTGAATTATGCACTTGTTTGAAGTTGTGAAACAGCAGCACCTTATGCTTTTTCGTTGTAAATGCGAAGTATCACTGACAGACAAGGTTCAAAAATCTGAGATTGATACAACTACCTAAAACTACTGATGCCATCTAAATGGTTCGATTGTGAAAGCATCTTAAAATGATCGAAATCCAGTGCAGTGAAAGGCGCTGTAATGATTTTCAAGAGAATCGCGCATATCCATGATTTTCATCAGATTCGTGATGTCTGTCAAAGCGCTCGTCAGGAAATGAATTTCAATTTTAGGCGATATAACTGAAAATTCTTGGATATAAGAGAGATTTTGAAATTCAAAATTATGAAATTCATGAAAATCTTAGAGTTGAACAATCTTTTAGACTCTTAGGACTTCAGAACTCTAAAGTTTTATAGATTCAACGTCTCAAAGTTTCAAACTCTCATAGTTTCAACGTCTCAAAGTTTGAAACTCTCATAGTTTCAACGTCTATAAGTTTCAAACTTCCAAGTCGTGAAAGATTCCACAATTGAGACTTTCAAAATGGAAGATTCAAACTCTCCAAAAACTATAGAGAAATCTGTAGCAATGTTCGACAAACAACATCAAAGAATGGCATGATGCATTATGATGAGAACAGTCACGTATATTGATCCTAAATCCTGAAGACTCTCAAAAGAGATAGAGCATAACTATCTGCGCCACTTCTTGACAAACTGCGATCGAGAACTGAGTACTGCTCCCTCTATGTATCCTTTCGTCCCTAGTGCTATCATTTGTGATAACACAGGCATCGAACCGCAGTAACGCCATTCATCGTATCTTTTCATCTATCTCAAAACAGCTACTAACTCTCGTAACAGCGCCTCTTGATGTCCACGATAAGGATCCTGGAAATGTAAGTTATAGTCAGAGTGCAATAACCATTCGCAGCGAAAACACATGCCCATTTTGCTCCAAGGATACCCAACTCGCTATTCGCTTCTGATTCCTCATCACTCGATCCTTCATTGTGCTCCTCTTAGGTAGGTGCTTTCCGGGGCGGCAAATTCTGGGAGTGTATGTCGCTTGGTGCAATCTCCTTGCTATGGTTAGAGCGCGCATTGTTTCATCTACTCGGTCCTCCCCATCTCGGTATCCCTACTCTTGTATTCAATGCGACGGCGTGGTCGTTGTATTTTTGGTTCGTGTAGTTTTTGACATCTTGTCGTTCCGTGTAAATACTAACTTGGAGGTAACTTGTGAAGATGTTCGTTGTGAATAGCGACGTACTGTGTGATGTCCGGTTCTTTTGTTGTACTTAAATTTGCGAAAGCGATCACGTTCACCTTCACGTCTAATACTGCTCTTCGAGTTGTTCACACAAAAAACCTGGACTTCTTGGAGAAGGATCTCCCCTATTCTTGCAAGGATTCAGAGAATTATCTTCCTTATGATCCTCAGAGTAATCCATCTAATCCTTCCTTATCAAAACTCGATAACCTAATCGATCCTTCCTTATTCAAACTTGGTATCGACCGACTTCCCGAATCAGGAGTGTGCCTACCGCTATCTGCAAGCAATGAGCATGCAGCTAGTGTGAGTGAGTGAAGAATGGTGACGCTAACAACGAGGCTCCTAGAAGTCAGCGGCTCGAACAGCGGGTGCTGCCTTGTGTAAGTAGTTTGGGGGCGAGGGCCTCCACGTCGCGGCTGTCCTGTTTGTTTTTCAACTCTGTTCGACAAGACAACTTTCTTCTAACAACAGGATCATGTTGTAGTTGTCATCTTGATTCATGCATTATAAACATGGCATTTTTCCTTGTTCTCATTTTTACCCAATAATAGCCCATATCAAAAGATAGATGAAGATTTCATCTTGAAGCCTCTATATCCACTTCTGTGCAGAAGTGCAACTACAACAACCAGATGGTAGAATCTCGCTTTTAGTCCTTTTTTTTAGTTCATGATAGTAGTAAATCGTCATGACATCATCCACAAAGGTAATATACAAGAATTTTTGACTCCATTAAAGTCGTACAGGAGACAACATGAGATTGAAGAGATGTAGGGCCATCTCGTACCAGCTATCTCTTCATGTTGCCTGACCATCTCCTCGTCCGGGGGGACGACAAACTCTTCTTCTGTACAATATTCTAAACCAGAGGACGAGGTGGACGTGGATAACAAACTATAAATAACTCATCGTATGGTACATGCTCGACCTGCTGCACCAATTTTTGCAACCAATCGTCGCTTGATCTTTGAAGACGCCATCATGCTACTTAGTTCTTTGCTGAAAGAGCAGTATGAATTGTTCATTTAAGACAGACAACAATGATTTCGAAATTCCTCATGCAACGATTATCACCTATCCAGCATTACAGAAATCAAAGTTCATTCATTATCCACGAACTAAATCAGCTATGATATTAGCTGGGCTATTCCTGTGACTCAGCATATTGTTCATTCATGACGACTCAAGTTTAAAGGTTTCTTGACCGAAGTCGGTGGAAGACCAAGACAAAACGACATCCTCCTCTGTCTTCCTTGACATATTGTTCAACAGGTGCATTATCCCACTCAAAAACAAAACCACCCGGCGCTAAAAATAGTTGTAGATCATAACTTGTGGATGTGGACAGGGCTAGGATCTTCATGTTGATAATGCTCCATTCATTCTTTTTTACAAACCATTAATTTTTTGGGCATTGTAATTGTTAACTTAAGTAAATCAGCTCAACAAGCATCAGCATATGAAAATAGGCTATATTCTCGGGTGCAACAATAAATCACGTTTTCTTGATGGCTAAAACAAGGTAGTAAGTTGTATTTTGGAGTAATTCATCTTATTCTTTTGCTGGTGTACTATCAAGATTCTTCACGCTATTCATCTACAGAAGCAAGAATGAGCGAGTCCCCACATCTCAGTCCGACATCGGCTCAGTATTTGACAGTGCCTTTCCGCGTCCTCGAGCACTCTCCGTCGCAGGTGAGTCGCTCAGATACACGCTCTTCCCGCCACCTCTTGTCTTAGATCTCACCTATAAAGACCCGTTTTCATCCACCTGTTATTGCACAAGAGTAAGAAAAAACGAGCGATGTTGCCTCATCTACACCTACCTGGATTTTCACCACTTGCTTCAGTACGTTCAATCGTTCGTACACTGTTTGATATTGAATTTATCAAAAACTCTATCGAGACTGATAGAAACTTTGCTAGCTTCCTGAAAATTGTAGTTTGAGTCCTGCCTTAATTTTCGGACTGACACGATGGCCCTCACTCAGAGGGTTCGTCCTATACGGCGGCTTTATGGGTCGAGGATGCAACGTCGGAGGCTCTTTGACTAGCCGATTCTTCTTCTTCTGGCTCTGGCCTAAGACACCTTCATCTTCTTCGAGGGCATCTAGCAGACCTGTGTATGGTAGGTCGCGGGATCCGGGAGAACAAAAATTCACAGTCAGAACTACAACATGTAGCTTCCCCTGCCTGATAAAAGACTGTTACAACGATGATGTTGATCATCTTCATGCCATTCCATTGAGAACCGTAGGAACAATGATCTTCATGCACTAAAATATAACTAAGTAGGTACCATCTTCAGCTATGCTGTCACTTAGAGCATCATCCATCTGCAAGCCGTGTCTGGCTTCCTTCCTCTTCGACTGCGGGGTTGAGGCCTCACTGTCCCCACTGCTAGCCCTAGGGCTCCGTCGCATGCGTTCACCAGTTGCGAAGTTGTAGTAAAATTGAATACCTGGAAGGGGATCCGTTGGGGATAGGAAGGTTGCATAAAACTGTAGGCCGTGGATGTGGATAGGTTAGAGGAAGATAAGATAGAGTAAGATAGCCTGGTGCATTTGTAAGATAGAATAGTTATATTAGTGTTAAAAAGGTTAATCTTGATGCAATCATATGACAAGAAGTTTACGTAGTAACGCAATCACGACGATCATCGTGATTGTTGATGAAGAAAACTCGTGCAGATACATAGAAGAGGGTTGATGATAACTAGTGCCGATTGAGAAATGAGGATGATGTTGTGCTGTTGTTTGTGAACCGGAAAGAGCACGAGAATCTGATTCGAATTTGCATCAAAATCGTTGAAATTGGCGTAGATGTAGTTAGTAATCAATCGCAACATCCACCACGAGCATCCAACGAAGAAAATGCAGCTTGTGCTTGATGCGAGTATGCTTGCTTGGCGTCAAATAGCAGCACCTTATGCTTGTTGGTATCACTTTGATTCTCATGCAGTATTACTGACAGATGAAGTCCAACTCTAAAAATCTTAGATTGATAGAACCTAAAGCTACCACGACCAACTTGTTTGCTTTCCAGAAGTGTCTTAACATGAAATCCAGTGCAGCGCAGGGTACTGTACTGGTTTTCAAGAAACTTGTCCATATCCATGATTTTGGTCAGATTCGTAGTCTCTGTCAAAGCGTTCGTCAGGAAATGAATTTCATTTTTTTGCGATATAACTGAAATTTCTTGGATATAAGAAGGATTTTGAAATTTCAAATTGTGAAATTCATGAGTCTTTCAGAATCTTAAGATTTCATGGTTCCAAAGTTTCAAATTTCCAACCTTTCAACGTCTCAAAGATTCTAACTTCCAACCTTTCAACTTCTCGAAGATTCAAAGATTCAAACTTTGAACCTTTCAACGTCACAAAGATTCAAACTTCCAACCTTTCAACGTCTCAAAGATTCAAACTTTGAACCTTTCAACGTCACAAAGATTCAAACTTCCAACCTTTCAACGTCTCAAAGATTCAAAGATTCAAAGGTTCAACGTCTCGAAGACTCCTTAGACTCAAAAGAAGCAGATTCTGAATCTGATCGTGAATATCTCGTCCAATACTTCTTGACAAACTAGCATCTGGAACTGAGTACTATGTCCTGTATGCATCCTTTCGCCCCTATTGCTATCGTTTGTGATAGCCCCATTTGCATCGAACAGGAGCAGTAACATGACTCAGTGTATAATCTTCTACAACTAGTAAAACTAGCAACAGCACTTCTTTTCCACGATGAGGATCCTGAAAATGTAAGAAAAAGTCGAAGTGTAGTTACCTTTCGCATCGAAGAAAGGCGCCCATTGTGCTCCAAGGACACCCAGTTCGCTATCCACTTCTGATTCTTCATCACTCGATCCTTCATCCTGCTCCTCTTCCGTAGGTGCCTTAGGCGGAGCCATCTTCTGGTAGTGTATCTTCGTTGGTGCAATCTCCTTGGCATAATTAGAGAGCAGCGCTTAAACTCATCTCGTAGCTCTCCCCATCTCGGTATCCGTAGTACCCTCGTATTCTATGGAGAAACAGGACCGCCACGTTGCAGTTGCGGTCGGATAATAGAAATGAGTGTAAACATTGACCATAACATGAGGGGGAAGTGCCTTGATGTGCTTCATTGCAAAACACTCCAGGCAAAAAAGCCGCCCGAAAATTAGAGGCCGGAGTGCTACCGGAAGTAGCTTGTTGTTGCAGTACGATGACACAGACATGAAAATGTTGAAGTTATCATATTCTTCAGGTTCAGTTGAACTAAATGAGTATGCATATTCGTGTGAGAACTAGAGCAGCCTTTGTTAGGGTATATCTTCCACACTGCAATAATTTCACAATTACGTGTTCATATTCAAGTCGTGAGCTGTATTGACCATAAGGTATACCCACACTGCAATTTCGCTGCTTTCGATTTGCACATCGTGCAGACCTCTAATTTATAGGCTTTTGCGTCTTTTCGGTGGCCCTTTTGGTGCAATCTCGCGAAGCAAGCCAAGCACATATAGTCCTCGAACATTGTACAATAGGACAGAGCTACACTGTCGCACTCGACGCACATGACTTCACCTGGTGAGATGAGGAGGTTGTAACAGGAGATGGAGATGGTGATGGAGAGGAATACAGCTTGTTTGTTGAGATTGCCCAAATGAATCTTTGTTTGGACCAGGAATTGCAGTTGAAATCGTCAACAAGTAACGCCTTCATTTAGCCAAAGAGTGTACAAAATTGATATTCCAGCATGTCCATACTCCACAAGTGAAGAAGAAAGTACCACTCGCCAATTTCCTGATAATTTCATTCTCCTCGTCGTACAGCCTCTTCGCGGTTTTATAGGTTTCCTTCGTTGGCAAATCCCTAAGTCCCTTCCACGTGTCCTGGATTAAGTCGGTCCTAGACCTATTCAATCTAACAGCTTCTTCCAAGGCAAAGACGTCTTCTATCGCAACTTCTTCGTTGGTTCGATACGAATGACCGAAAATTTTGATGTATCTGAGAGAGAGAAAACAGTGAAAAACTAAAAAGTTCTTTAGGCATGACTATGACGTGAACGAAGTAGCATAAGATGAACTGTTGCATTGGAGTGACACTGAAGCGTTCAACATTGGAATCGTCACACACTTTTTACACCAAAAAAACATCGACACCCGACTTCGGCTGCTCGCTTCAAATTCAAATTCATAATTTTTTTAAGGGGTACCTCGCTCATGAAGATGACGATCTTAGTCTTGCTCTTGGTTCATGGTCAAAAAAAAACTACAATTCAAATTACGTTTTCAAGTCCCTGACGATATATGGCTCTGCTGCTAGGTCGTATCCCATAATCTCCGCTAAATTTTCGATGTACTCTGGACTGACCAGTGGCTCCTGGAGACTGCCGGTCGGTCCTTGCGTCTCGTAACTCCATATCAATCGGTTTAAGCGGCACTAGGATCGGGATGAGAGAAGGAGAAGGTTATGTTTCATGAAAGAAAATGAAGATGATTCTGTCTTAAATCTAGGGTAATTCAAGACCTGATGGTGACGACGAGCAGGAAGATTGTATGTGAGTTCAACACCTACAGCAAAGAACAACAAATGATTTTCAGCTCGTGCGCTAGCTAGAAACTCACGTCAGCACCAACACACACACTTTTTAAGATCTATAACAAGTACCTGCTTCACATGTTCAGGCGATGCTGTTGTTGCGAAGTGCTTCAATTGCGCAAAATAGTCGTAAAATGGGTGTTTCCATGTTGATCTCCCTGTCTGGTGATTCAAGAAACAGAGAATCTTAGACTTCTCCGCAATTCATCTTTCAACTGCGTCAAGCCTTGAACTGCGTCAAGCTGCCTTGAAGAGTATTTCTCCCTGAGACAGGGACATACTTGCTCAGGGACTTCTACTTCTTACGCATATGGTTGTTCTCAAAGAAGATCTTCCATGTAGTCGCCAAAGTCTTCGACGACTACATACCGGCTCGGAGGAAGATCATTCATTTACCTGTTCTGGAGGTATCTTTTGACGCCTGGGCGGCTTTAGACTTAATTCTCCTTCTTTGACTCAACGATGAATTAGTGAGAGCCTTAACAATAGATCCTACACCCTTGTAGGAAGTCCATGGAGCGGGCAGTTCCATTTCTGCCAAGCTCTGCACGATCCAGCCCAGTGGCTCATCCGCTAGAGGATCCAACTCGAGGTAGGCAAACCTTTTTGATTAAGTATGTATCCATGTCAGGACGAAGGTGCAATAATAAGATGAACCTAGGACTTTCTAAGATCAGTATTTCGGAGGAGTAAGAATGTATTAGGATTGAGTTAGCTGCAGGAGGTGCTTGCACTAACTGTAAAGAAAAAAGAAACGACTACAGTACGCATAGATTGTACACAACATTTACATTTTTACAGTAACATTAACTAAAAAATCTTACAATCAACATGATCGATTACCAATACGATCCTTCACTTCATCTAGGTCGTCCTCAAAAACAAGCAATGGAAGAGAAGCATGACGTAGATGAAGAACAATACCATGACGTAGAGTGCTAACCATCAAGAACAATACCATTCGTCGCTATCTGGCTTGACCCCTCTTGACAGTAGCACCGGAAACTTGTCCAGTTTTCGCAAGGCTTTCTGTGTGATCAGGTCGTCCACGCCAAACAAGAGAGAATTAGAGCCCTTCTTCTCAGAGAGAATTAGAATCAGACTAGGATCTTCTACTTCCTGTTGGTCTTGGAAGTGTTTTGGAAAGCAAGAACTCACCTTGTTATCCAACATCCTCCCACCTCCTTCTGGTTGTTACTAGGAGGTGGTCGTAGTAGTACTACAGACTTACAGGTGACAGCATTGTATTACCTCTGCTACATCCAAAATACTGTGGATACCTCCTCAAGAAAAGATTACTAAGTTGATGCAATTCTTGCAATGTACTTACAGTTGTAGCAACTTGGTATTCTTAACAAAGGGATCCGCATCGAGATAGTTCATGGTTTTCTCGCTAAAGAGGTCCCTTCGGTCGAAATTGGTCACCACATTGCCCCACATCGCGTCTGGGTTCAGATCCCAGTCGCATACTACATTTTTCTCAGTCTTATGCGCCACTTGAAACTCGGGACCCATCGGAGTCTTTCGGACGGCGAAAAACCTTTATTCAATAAATTTGTGAACGAAGATGGAGCGAATTCATGAAATGACTTTGGCGTCAGGTCGTTGCACGGCCATCGTGTTGAGCGTCCGAGGACCTTGTTTAAAGTATGATCACGTTGAACAAAAGTTCAAATCTAAATCCTTGCTTACCTCCATCGTCAGCCAAACATAGTTCTTACCAAGGTACAACGTCCACAGGTACAAGATCAGTACAGATGTTCATCCTCCACTGGGAGCATCGACAAGAAGCCTACTGGTATGTAACCCTCTGTTATCACGCCGTCTGCTCTTTGATGCGTAAAAGAATAAAGCCTCTCCTCGTCTGCGTCTACTCCTTTGTATATCCTTCCAAACAAGATGATCTTGTGCCTCTTGTCGATGTCCATCTTTGGAACGTGAGGAGCCTGTAGAGATTTCAGAGGGGAAGATGATTTGCAAAGATGTCTAGTTCTTGGACTTCCTAGAAGACCTACGCTTTTCAGTCAGACGATGACGAAAAAATACAAGATTTGATACGCAAAGAATTGCTGCTCAGCAACACAAGGCTAATCCTAATTACAATCATAATCATGCAGGAAAGTCTTCATCTAGGGTTTACTACAATAGAATTAGAAAGGCTAATCCTGTAATTACAACAAAACAGTGAGTTTTTACCTTGTTTTTATCCTTTGGCTTTTTCTTTGCTGGAGCCTTGGCTTCTGACAAAGTCGCCTTTTGCAGCGACTCGATCGCCTTGAGGTGCTCCATGGTGCCGTTACTCAGACGGCGTTCGCCCGCCTTACCCTCTCCACCTGCTTCTGCCATCCTTTGATGCTTGGATTGATCGACTGAGTGATTGGTTGATCCCGTGATTGATGTGCCTCACAAGACCAAGAGGTAGTTGCACTGGAGGTGTCTGTAGAACTAGAAGAAGAGTGTTTGTAGAACTAGAAGAAGAGTGCCTAGGTCACTCCTGTTGCTTATTTGATGCTCCGAGGAGGACTCCCGTCGTCTCCACTGTAGATGAATGCTTGGAAGTGATGTCCCCACTGTAGTAAGGGAACTGCTGTCCACGACTAGAGTGCCTACTTCTGTAGAACTAGAAGCAGCAGTGTTGTCTTCTTCTCTGTGGTCTCCTTCTGTAGATAATGAACGAGAAGAAGTTGTACCCGGTCGCGATGTTTCTTCTAGTTGTAGAATACAACAACTGTTGCTTCTAGTAATTGAATACAACAAGTGCTGTTCCCTCTCATGGAGGTCGTCCACCTGGTCCTCGTCGTGGTCCTCACTGCTCAATGGTACTGGAGGACGCTTTTAGACTGCTTCCTGCTTTTAGACTGCTTCCCGTTGCACTTTTAGGTGTCGTTGCACTGAGAAAGAAGTTTTTTGCCGTTGGTCCCACTGAAGAAGAAGTCTTCTCGTTGTGTATCTGGCGGTTTGTACCTACTGCTCTCCTTGAGTGTCAACTACACCCTAAAAAAACCTCCACGTGACTGCTCGTATACCTATTTCTTGCACGTGTAGTTTATCGTCCTGAGCCTTCTGACGGTCTTGTCCTTGCTGTCCTCCGCGTGGTGACTGCCTCTCTTCGCGTGCCGCCAAACGTCGTGCGCAACTACCTCCGTCAACAAACAAAGGAGCCCTCGAACAAGGGCCCCGGCTAAGGCGGTCCTTGTTAGGCGACGAGATATTCCCGTCCACTCCTTCCTTGCGGCCAAGGCGGTCCTCAGGCGACGAGATATTCCCGTCCTCTCCTTCCTTGTTGGACGAGTTATTCGTAATAGCTAGTCCCGCCCATTACAGTACAGGACGAGAGATTGACTAGTCCTCCCTCCCAAACGGAGGAATGAGCATGCGGTCGATCCGCCGCATATTTTTCACATTGACCATTTCTTCAAGAGGAACATAAGACTAAACAACCACAAGCTACTCAAAAGTTGAATTTGATTCTGCTGCCTTCTCATCTCTCTGAGTAAGTGCTTTCAGAACCAACGATAGATACTCATGATACTGAGGTAACACGAATATGATAACTCGCCAAAAGAACTCGAAATACCAACGACCTATGCTGTACACCCAAGAATACCAACATCCTGCCTTTCTTTCTAATAACAAGATTATACAGCTTCTACAGGCGTAAACATCCTGCTTTGATCCCCCGCTTTCATCAATTTGAGTCAAAAACCGGCCAGCTGAATTTGGGAGTCGACATAAATTCGAGTTGCACACGACCTCAACATCTCGACTAAAGTTCACACAGTCTCTGTGCTGTCACACTTCCTTTGCTATCTCTCTTTCCCTCTCTCCTGCTCATGTCGGGTGTCATTTTGTCTCTCGCGCAAGTTGCTGAACACACATCTTGCTTGCTTGCCAAGTACGCAGCTAAGCTTTCTATGCAAAAAAAACAAGAAATCTCACCACGTTCAGGAAGCACGCTCGCTGTCGCTTCATGGTGTGGTTCGATGAGTAGAAATGTTGATTTTTCTTTCAACTCTGTTTTTCTTTATTTTTAGGATCGTGCCTGACAATCAATCGTCCTGTTCATTGTCTGTACATCGTCGGGTTAGCCTTATCAGGTCTAACCCTCCCTGGTCAAGTTTGAAGCAAATCTTACACAGAGCAACGGAATGAAAATGAATCAAATAAATGAAAATGTGAAATTAAATAGAAGAACCAACTCTCGAGGTGAAAGACGGATGACATTTTTTTCTCGAGATGGTTATGATCATGGATGAACATCATCAACATTTTTCGCGAAAACTGTACTACACATGTATACAAGCGCTCCTGGAGGATAAAATTTAGATTTTTGCGTTATTCCAAATAATTTCCACCTCCTTGAGCACCTCCCGACGAACTGCTTCCCGTTATGCCATCGTGATGCATCACAGCTGAAGATGCTGAAGAAGAAGTGAATCCTCTCCCAGATGACCAAGACATACTTCCCTCTCCCAAAATGCCACGGGGATTCAAAAAAGGGTTTGTGATTAGAACGGGCGTAATGCTGGAGTTTCGAACAATGCTAGAATTCCATCAGAGACAAGAACCAATGATGAAGGCAATTGCTGCAGACGCAGCTGCTACTAACAAGAACCAATTTAAATTTTCTGAACCGCATTTGTAAAAAATGTTGCATGTCCATCCATGCTCTTGCTGCTCTTTTTAACAAGTAAAAAGAAGATTATTTAGGTTCAAACGAGTGACCACTGCACCGTATGTACATGTAACAGAGTGACCCTGACCACTGCATCATAATCATATGTACATGTAGCCATAATCTCATGCCACCGCCTGCGCCACCTGTGTTATACGTTGCTGGATTGAACAACGCAGTAGTACCCGCGTCTTCGTTTTCATAGCTCCCATGCTGCACCAATTCAACATTGTCTTCCCCATCATCACCTTCACCACTTCGGTCGGGTTCACAGCAGGTACAGATAAGTTAAAGACATGCATACTCGAAGCGAACAACCCCGACCAGAGAAGGACCGCTAAGAGAGATCATATTAAGACAATATCTTGGAATTTTCTAAAACGCGCAGGTAGTAAGGAGGCTCTTCGCGTCCTACACGCCAGGAGTCTCCTCTTTCATCTGTCTCTCTCTCGATGAGAGTTTGAGTTGAGACCTCAATCTAAAAAAGTGACATAGTCAAACCTCACTCCACTAGCAGTAGCACCACGACTATCTGAAACTTTATTTAACCTCACCTGACCTTGTGACTAATGAGCGGAGATAAAAAAGAGAACCAACGAATTAGGAGATAAAATCCAGGCTTAAATACAAAGCGCAAATCCGGTTTTGGCTGGACTAAAGGGGCAGAGGTATCCGAAACTGCACCCTGCGACGGCTACTAGAAGGAGAGAATACGTTAAACACAAGAAAGCGAACAGGGCCACATACGTCGTAAAATTTGCGACCACAAGAAAATTAAAGCTAATATGCCAGGTTGTTCATCCCTGCGCCTATATTTCCACCGAGGATCTCCACGCACGGGGATCTCCACGTTTTACCTAGCTCGTGATCCCCGTGCGTGGAGATCCCTCATCAAATGGTTGAGGGATCTCTATAACTATATGAGATGAATAATTAGTCGAGACGAAGTCGTTACTAATAGCCTTAAGAGAAGCGCCTTTAACATGACATCGATAAGTGATAAAACCTCCGTCTTGTTGTTGAGAACCTGGTTGTGAATAAATGGCAAAGGAAATCATGGAAAAGAAAACTCGAGATGCAACACATGGGAGGGCCTGCCCCTACGCCTACGAGCAAGACCGACGACCTCCACCTAAGTAATAGAACTGGGAGAACGACTTGGACTTCCTAAAGAGGACGAGATCCTTCAAAAAATGGAAATACCCATCAGGAGACCCAGCCTCCTCGCGGGGTTCCTGGGCGTCCGTGTCCTGTCGTGATCAGTAGTAGCCGTATCCTTTGACATTTTTTGTGCTACATCTAGTAGTTTTTCGTCATTGCTCCATCCCGATCGCGCTACTAGGGGTTCAGTCTTATGACTCTGGTCCACCGCCTGCCAGTTAGGCTCTGGTCTAGTGTGCGTGTAAAGGGTGCAATAGACTCGCTCCCCCGTTGGTGCGGACGGTGAGGTCGAAATGGAATGAAAGGTGAGGACAGGGGCGTCCAGATAATAGGCAGAGAGAGGATCATGTTACTCCAGGGGCGTCCAGATCTAGTACTTCTACAACATCCGCGGCTGCAACATCCTCAGCTGCTGGAGAGCATACCCGTTAGTATTTCCCCATCAAATCCTAAGAATGTTAGTCCGACCCTTCATCCAAGACGATGATGTTGAACGCGGCTAGGGAATACAAATTTATTACTGCAACTTCTATCATAATCATACTTACTTGTCCCATCATATCTCCATAAAAGAATCCACTGGCCCCACTCCCAACGGTATCTTCCTCGGTCATGTAGCCCGTACACAGCTGATCGCCGTCACAGAGGCCTTCGCAATGCGTCGCTGTGTTGGGAAAAGGACTCCTGAAGGCAGCAGCCCCCCGTGTCCCGTCCGGACCTAAGGCGCATTGGCTACCATTGTAGGAGAGCGACAGACGAGACTTCTTAGAAGATCCATGAACAATTCTTCTACTTCTGTAGTAACACCTGTGACTGTGTAAATGAAGCCAATGCCAAAAAACTAAAACCAGTCACTCAAATAACGTAAATGTCCTTGAAAGAGACGCCAAATGACGGACCAAGCAAGTCGGTGAGAAAATCGCATTCTAGCCTCGTTGTTGAAGCTTAATGTCTATGCCTCTGCGATCAAAAAAGCTTTCTTAAAAGAGCCACTCCCATCCGCAACAGCTACTGGCAAATTCCCAATGTGAGGATCGTTTTTCAGAAGCGACGACTGCTGAGCTTTTAGCTTCGACGACTGAGTAGAGGGTGAGTGAACTTCGTCATAGCCTCGAGACTTGCAGAGGTGCCACATGTTTTGACATTTGTTTTCCATCTTTTGCAGAAATTCTATCCGCTGTTGGCAGCTAGGTCCACACCCTGATGCGATAGAACTTGGGAACAATGTTAGATGAGTTCTTTAGCTGAGTTAGAAGAATGGCGGTTGATTCATCCGAATCTGAATAGTCCAACCACTACCACCTCCCCAATGTCATAAAATTTACTTGCAGCTTCTGCTTCTGTTTTGCCGTATCATTTTCAACTCTAGTAGTAGGAGACACATGGATGTCTTGGACGTGGGACCAAGAACACATGTCCTGCTTATTCACAAGTGGGCTTAGGGCTGGGCTTAGGGTTAGGGTCGTCATAGTATCGAAAAAGCCTTGTAATTATATCTTCGAAAAAGCCAATTCATAACTCCATCGGCAATGGATTTCCGTGAATGTCGCAACCCAACCCCTGCATAGCAAACTCGTAATCCGGCGAAGCACAATAATCGATAGACTGCTGTCTCAAAATAGGCCCAATAGAATCCACAACCATCAACATGCACAGGCCCAACACGAACGTACTAAAGGTAACGAGGAGGACGACACCTGGAGGCAGAAAGATTTCTTTGCAGGTCTAGCTCTTGCTCTAGCTCATATATTTATAAGTTACGAAAGTAGTCAGGAACAGCAGTACGATCATTACCTCTACATCATGGATAGGATAGGATTTGATTCACCGTCCACAGTTTGACCTGCCTCCTCGGGTGAATATGCGCAGCCACAGAGGGACTACCACATGGCCAGTCAATACACAGTCAGTTATTCGATAAACTGAAATAAGCGAGTAACCACGTAAAATAAGCGAGGTACTGAAAAACGAAGAGGAATTATGCAGTCAAAAATCTTTTATTTCAGTCAGTAGGTCGCAGATTTTCAGTGCTCGAGTCCACGGCGCCACTAGAGCTATATTAACGGTATCTTCTGTATGGAATACCTGTAAAAACTTTCAAGGCCACCCTGCCATATCCATCTCCTTTGCTTATGACAGCTGGAATCCCTGCAAATATTGCAGTCGACAGCATACACCCGTAAACCAGGTACTCTCCTGTAGCGATCCACTTTATTTTAGAAATCGTGGAAGGTCGTGACTAAGTCGTCCATGATCCCTGTCGTAATGATGCCCGTTGGTTATTGTTGTACCATGCCTTGTTATGATCCCTGTCGTGGCTCCTTCCTCACATCCCTGCCTCCTGTAGTCTTCAGCTCACATTTACACTTACACATTTACACTCAGTTAAACTTACACATTTTTTTACACTCAGTTACGCGCACACATTTACACTCAGTTACACTTACACATTTACACTCAAGTCATCGCACACTACGTGAGTACATAGAGATTGAAGATGAAGAGAGGTTAGACACTAGCATACTTTGGATGATGGAAGGACTAACCTGTAAGATATGTGAGGGGGCAAGTCGAAGTCGATCAATACTTCTCACTAGTACAGCGTATCTAGTAGCACTAGCCGTAACCCTTAGTCGAATCCGTGGCGTGAAAAAGTTGTCATCTTGCGTCAGCCGGTCCGTGAATGCAGAGGCGGCAGCTAAGCTTTGGGACGTCAAGGCATACTCCCCAACGAAAATTTCGGAAAACAAAACACCATACAAAAACGTCACCGCACAGCCTAAAAGGAGCAACGTCTTCTGTGAGAAGCCACTCGTGACGTTCAGAAGGTAACACATTTTGAGGACGTCTAGTTAGTTTTTACTTAGTACATTCTCTGTGATGTACTTGGTGTGTGCTCATCTGTAAAAACTATTTCTGACTCTCCTGCTACTTCTGGGTGTTTTTTAGTGAGCCGTCGCCATGACGCACTCCTAGCAGAGCAAGAATTAGAAAAGGAGGGGGCTATGGCTGTCGTGTATCTATTTTTTACTTTCTCCACATCTTCTCTTTCCTCGGTGTTACCCAAGTTGAAGTTCTTCTTTTTGGGATACGATTACTCTCCAATTGAATGCTGGTTTTCCTTACGGTCACGCCAAAGTGCCTCGTCTCTTGTTTCCTCCGCGATATGCAGTGCAACACAGCTGTTACTGCAAACAGCTGTGTAGAATTTTTCTACAACTCGTCCAGCCTTTTCCCCACCAGGCGTACTACAATAATCGTGAGTCTTTGTCTTTTCATCGAATTTGAGAAACTGTATGTCCTTGTCCTTAGTTTTTCTTGTTGTTCTTCAAGATTGATTTTAGCAAAAGTTGACAATCCTACTACATGAAATGCTATTGTCGTGCTCGGCACCCTCAGCACCCTGTATGATCTCAATGCCAGTTGAGCCATTCATGTTCGCGTCTTCTCGCTTGTGAGGCCGCATGCTCTTTTTAAAGATAGCCGCTCACTATCCGTGGTTGAGTGAGTTTTCCTTTTTTCCCCTTAGCTTCCCCCTCAAATCAAGGGGGAGGCGTTCAAATCAAGGGGGAGGCGTCTCAGCACACTTACATAGTCCACAGAGGATAGTGGTCGGGATAAACTAGCCTTAATCTTTAGCTTCTTCTGTGGCTCCTGCATTCGTGAGGACACCGCCGTAGTAGAGATCGCCAGATGTGCTGATCTTCTTGGTCATAAGTACCCTGACATCTTCAGTAGTCTCTCTGTCTTTGGAGGAAGTAAGAGATGTGGTTGAGCCTCCATTATTGATGATAGGATGGTTTTTAGAAGAAGAAGTCCTTTCTTCTTGAGCTTCTTGTAGTCCCCCTTTAGCATGATCAAGAGGAAGAGTACTGACGTCATCTACTTTGTTGTTATTGCCGTTGCCGTTCGTCGAGTTTTTCATCGATTGTGAGCCGTTGTAAGACGAAGAAGATTCTAATCGATTTTGTGCTTGTTCAGCTCCATGATTTAGTCCAATAACTTCAGTCGAAAACAGGGTCTTCTTCTGGCGTGTCAGCTCTTCCAGCTTTCCGGTGATATCTGCTACGGCTGAACGCATTTCCTCCTCAAAATCCTCGGGGACTCGCGGTTTCTGCCGATAAAGTCGGTCCGCAATGGTAACATAGCTTAGAAAAGGGGGATGAACAAGTGGTCGTGAGTTCCTGCCTCGAAAACGTCATCAATCAACATGCACTAGCACTATTTCTTCAACAGAAAATAATGTTGATGGGTGTGCCTTGCTTCATATATTCTCCTGCTCGTACTCTTCTATTCAAGGGACGAGAAGCAGAAGGAACCACAACTACTGTTGTTGTCTAAAAAAATAGTAAGGAGCAGGGAAAACATCATTAAGATTGTTCAAGAATTGCCCAGTTCCTCCACACTTTTTCCTCCGTAACACTAAAGCCACCAGACCGCCAACTCCGTAGACGATGAACATCCCTCCCATCTGTTCGACGTTTATGGGTGTCGTGTCACTGCTCTCACCCTGATCGTCGCACGTCCTACCGCTCTTCATCGTTTCTTCCAAGATATGCTGGTATCGCGTAGTCTTGAAGTAGTAGAGAAGAAGTGACTCAATAGGGGAGAAATAATTACAACAGACGAGCCACAGGGCAGAACAATTCTGAACAATGAGGAATTCTTGATAATACAAAGAACAAAGTCAAAGACGACCTGTACTCCGAGAAGGAGAAGATCGAGTTTAAGAACAAGTTTTCACTTCTAGTCTAGTTAGATTTGCTAACTTACAAGATTTCATAAAATACAGTAACAAGTACCCCCATGAGCACGAGCATCGCGTGATTCAGGTAGCTGAGCAAAGTATCGTTGCGTCGCATCATGATGTACCTGTACATTGGTTTCTATTAGAAGGTTGAGACCACTTCCCCAAGGGCCTCATCTCAGAGCGGTTTCAGCCTTCCATATCCATCCCTATGCTTATCTTTAAGTGTGATCCATTGTTGGAAGGGCTACATCTCTAGAGGTAAAAACTAACCGGCTGTTTTATTTTAGTGCTTTGAGCGCTGCTGGACCTAAACCCCAATTCTTTAAGTGTGATCTAAAAAAGTAGACTATGCATGTGCTGGTCTATGCCTGTGACTATCCTGAGAAATGAAAAAGACGATCATGTGCTGGCCACCTATGTCTATCTTCATGGAATAAAAGAGGCTGCTCTATGATATTGTACTGGTACTCATCTGCATCACGAAAAAGAATACACCTACAAATTATGAAACCATAATTGAATTGTGCGGCTTCTTCGACGTATAAGGTCTCACACTTTTGTAGCATTTCGGTCCGCGCAGTTGCGTCGCTTTCGATAATCGTCGAACATTCGCCTTTGTCCAATGCTTCATACGACCAATCGATCGTGTGTCTAGGTAGAAATGAAAGGGTCACGGACTTTCTAGTCGATTATGCTTACGAATATTCGAAAATCAATGTATAATGAATATACGAGAGAACGATCAGTGTATTAATAGCAATGTTACCTCCTATACCAACTTTCTTATTTGCTAAAAACAAAGTCTACTTCCACTTCCTCTGCAGCATCATTTATTCAAAATGTATCTTTCATCTTCCATTAGGATCTCTAAACCTCTCCGAAGATCTTATCAGTCGTCCACTGCTGTGATATTATAATATATGCTAAACAAATCAACACGGCACAAGAACATAATCTTCCTCACAACATAATCCCTGCGCGACGACCGAAGTTGGAGGATACACAATTTCTCCGACGAAGCTTTTATGCGTTTTCCTTTGTTGCAAGTGCCGAAAGCACACTTTCGCCTCGCCTAGCGCCTGCATCGTCCTGGGACCCTTGATGGAAACGGCAGGGTGAGTTAGAATACAGGACGACGAGGGGACTGCTAGTAGCAGCAAAGCTAGACCAATGGGTTTTAGTGTCTAAAACCATGCATCGACGTGCATCAATCACGAAGATCAAGAAAGCATAACTTAGTGAGAAAAGCTGCGAGATTCGCCGTATAAGTCGCTCCAGCGATCAAAATTAGGAACAGCAGACCGATTCGATCTTGTAGTTAGAAGCAACGTACACGACACTACTAGACGAAAACCACGTATTTTCACTAGTCCTGTAACAAATCAACATCAACGATCAGCAGGAATGTTGTAGCAAGATGAAGTACTTCCTAGAACTAGCCTTGCAGCACTAGTAGTACTACTTGGTAACTACTAGAAAAACTACGAGAAGTAGGTAGTACAGCAACACATATTCACACACAGCAAATAATCGTCCAGCATGCTGCGTAATACAACCTACCCTATGGTGCAACGTGGTAATGGGCATACGCGTCGCCTCCCAAGAGAGCAGCACAGGTATGGTAAAACACCTCTGCACAAGAAGTTAACGTCACTTTGGAACTCGTTGCTATGGCACATGTTAGATAGCATATCTATTCTTAGCTCTAAACATCTAGAACACGTTGATATCTGGACTTATAGGCTTCTTCTTAGCTCTAAACATCTAGAAAACGTTGATATGTGGACTTATAGACCTCTTCTTTGCTCTAAACATCTAGAAAACGTTGATATCTGGACTTATAGGCCTCTTCTTAGCTCTAAACATCTAGAAAACGTTGATACGTGGACTTATAGGCCTCTTCTTAGCTCTAAACATCTAGAAAACGTTGATATGTGGACTTATAGGCATCTTCTTAGCTCTAAACAAAGAAACCTAGAAAAAGTTGATATGTGGAGGTTCTAGACATCTAAAGAAGTCTAAAAAAGTTGATGTGTTATCGAATACTACCTCAAATTTCATTGAATCTTCGTAGTTTCTACACAATATTAGTCCACATTTGCTCAGCATCATCACAGTTTTGCCCAAATGTTGACAAATTTGAATGCGATGAATAGTGGACCCTCAGGAAATGAATTCGAAAAAGATGAGATAAAACGAATATTTTTCGAGGATTCAACTTGAATCAGCAAATTTGAAACTGAAAACAATTCGAAATCTCAATTTCAGACATTTCATGACCAAATGTTGAGCTTTGATCGAGATAATACAGCAACGAGCTCAATCACATCATTCGATTATAGCACCACAGCACTCTACTACGTTTACAACACAATTCAACCCCCTTCCTGCCGCTCCATGAATGTTACTAACACCTAGTAAACTGATTCATCTTGAATACCACGTACACATACCCATGCTCCTAGTACTTCTACTTGCAAGTAGTCCAATCAATCGTAAAATCAAGGTCTGCAAAATGACAGCACCGAATACCATCGATAGCACCAGTGCCAACCACAGTTCACTGGTAAACGGGAGGGGGTGAAATCCCAATCATCTGTCGACGCTCAACAGTACCATAGCGGAGGAAATAGACAGAACGCGTCTCCTAGTGCTTCTACAATGAACGACGATGAGATCGGGTTGAAAACGCAAGAGAAGCAGACCACACAATAGGACGGGTAACAAGACTAAGCGTTCTACTTACAACCAACAAGAACAGGCAATCTTTTGTATCTGAAACTGGAGTCTTCTGTTGGACTTGAGTCATGATGTGCAACAACTTGGTGCCTTATAGCCAACTACTACATACTCCAAACGTAGAATGGAAAGAAAACACAAGGAGCTAAAAATATCAGAGTTCTTCCTAATATCGATACCTTTCTCAATATTGGCACAGCAAAATTCCACACCAGAGGTTGCGAATACGAGATATCGTCCACTACGGTAGCCTTCTCTAGAGCTACCGCGCTAGCATGGTCCCTGAGTGCATCCTCAGTTCGTTTGTTAAGTAGAAAAGGAAGAACCAAGGATCATAATCAATGAATCATGTAGGAGAATGCTGAAGAGGAAGTAGCCTTAATTTCGAATCCAGGCCAATGTCGATCGAGTTATTCTGCAGAAGCTTCACTTGCGTCGCATGTGATTCTACCAAAAACGCCGGGTCGTGGATGGGCACAATTGTATGAAGCAAACCCCATTTTTAACCTAGTATTACACAACGTACACGTAAGCAAAAGTGGAAATTATGCGGGGAAATTATACGGGGAGATTATAAGTATCTGAAGTGGAAATTATACGGGGAAAGGTGCAAGAGATGGGAGGTACAAAACAAAGTATTTGATTGAAGTAGAAATTTAAGGCAAACTGTAAACGGGAAGATGAGCAACGACATCGATCATAGGTTTCAAAGTCCATTTGATGAGGTATCTATAAACTTAAACAGTAACAGGACATCAAAACGTCGAACGCGAATCTAAATAAACCTTAGAATGATCATAATATGATTCTGTAGCAGTATCCAAATAAAGGATCTGGATCTGGTTTACCATATGAATCATAAAATTGGATGTCGAGGCATGGAATTTCAGCTGGTTTCACTTCGCAAGGCAACGTAGCTAATGCGCGCCATATGTCTGGGATAAAGCCCTTCACCAGGGCGCCCGTTGCTGGGTCTACCTCCGCCCATGGCATCCACGTAAACGGAATCACGCCAACCCTTAACGTGATCGAAGGAAGTCTCACTTAGAGACCTCTCAACAGCACTTGTTCGAGTCTATCAAACAGAAACTACAGTTTGGTTTCTGTTTGATAGAGGGTCTTCAGTTATCTCAGAGACCTCAGACGCAGTGAAAAAGAAGCTTGAAGACTACTTACTATGGAAGATCGTTCTTATGCTGTTGAGGTCGTTGCCTCGTTGATTCATCTCATAATGACAGAGAAATTGATGATGAATACTCGTACTCCCCGCTTAAGTTTTTTCATAACTTGAACTTGAATTCGATGCCTGCTGCAGAGTCGAGGACAACAACCGCTGCTCTTGGCTGACAGAGAGCATGTTGAGGTCAGCAACCGCATCGTTTTGGACCCTGCCGATATTCATCTTTGCCCTTTCTTTCCCTTGAAAGAAGGCACGCCTTAGTTAGATCGATGCCTCTCAAGAAGATGAATTACGGTAAGCCTTAATTGTGTCCACCACCATCCTCTCTTGTCAAAGAAGTACTCCCTTCTCTTGTCAAAGAGATACTGCTCCTCATTAACTCTCTCCGTCTCCGTCCACCCCATGCCGAGAATATCTCGGACCCAAACCCTCCAGCTTCCACGACGCGGGGCAACTGCAGCACCTGAAGCACTGCTACGAGTGATACATGCACACCTATCCTTGGTTCTAGGTACGACTTCATAGTGACTGCCTAGCAAATTGTACTCCACCAAGACCTACTTCTATTTCTCCATTCCCGTGCAGCTCTCGTCCGACCACTACAGCGAGCTCCGCGTTGTCATTTGCCGGGATACAAGGGGTCGTTGGCTGGCAGATTGTTGCAATCCATCACCCTGCTCACTTTGAGGTCGCTTGAAGGCATATTATGGCCCTGCCTGAGATGGTTTTTTCCAGGTAGAACACAATGTGAGAAAGAAATTGGAGGCACTTTGATTCTTGAGGAAAAGTATTTCCGTCTTGCGATTTGTTTTTCCGTCATTCGTTTTCTGTAGTTTTTTTTTGCAACATTCGTTTTGAATCATCCTAGTAAAGGATCTTTGATGAGTTTGATGGTTTTCCACATTTTTTAGATATGCCAACAGTCGCTCCCTGCAGCGAAACATCATCTTCTCAGCTGCTCCCAGGAACGAACCAAGTATACTTATCAATTCTCCAACAACTATTCTTCATCATCATACCGCATCCCAAACAACTATTCTTCCAACTAATCAACATAGATGTTCACGTCGACGTGGTTCATACATTTTCATTCGTTATCATTGATTATTCTTTAAGTATTTCTTTTTTCGCCGTTTTGAAGTTCATTTATATCCACATCAAAAGTCTCTAGCTCTACCTCCGGCACAAGTAGTTATAGCTTCAAATAAGCTTTGAAGCGGAAAGAACGGTGCACGAAATCCGAGCAGATGAGTAATGATCAAAGAGAAAAACAGTCGTACTCATACCTGTGTTGCGATAGCTTCAAGTTCAAAGAAATCGGGAAGAGAGAGTAAGCTAATTCCTACTCCTAGAAGTCTTTTCGTTATTTTCCATTTTTTCGAGCACTGTCGGTAAAAGGCAATTTCGATTTCTTCTCAGAACAAAGGGAACCACGAAGCCGTTGCTCCCTCGCTAATCGACTGCTTGTTTTTGTTGTGATTTGTTCTCTATTTCTATACTTGTAGCATCCATAATTTCCGTCCAATCTTCTAAGGAGTCCCCCATCGTCTCCTCATCCCTAACAGCAACTTGCTTCTCGAGACCCTTCCTCCGAGATGCTAGGACTCTACGAGGGCTGAAGATACCCGGCGTCCTTGTCTCCTTTTCCTGCATGTTCTGTTGCTTTCAGTCCTCTAGGGCTGAAGATACCCGTCGTCTCCTTCCTCCAATTTCTCCAACTTGTTGTAGCTGAGAATAATCCAAAGTCCCAAGGTGACGCAGAGCACAATCATGATGATATCCATGAAAATACGACCAAAAACGATTGCGCCTCCCTTCAACTGCAGTGGCGGAGCACCAGCTGCTAACTTCGGAAACATTTGTTTTAGAGGAAGGGGTAATATACTCAAGATTGGTCTCTATCCCCTTAGAATTAGATGTTGTATAGGTAATATACTCAATAGTCTCTATCCCCTTAGATGTTGTTGTATCGACCATCAAATGTTGAGATACATATGGTAAGATGAACCTTGTTAACAATTACCTTCGAAAGGAATCAAAATACCTAAGCCTATTGATAGATAGTAGTTGTTGTAATCGACTAGTTGTACTACTAGGAGCCTTAAAGTTTGTATGTTTTCCGGAATCAGTGCAGTAAGAGCAGGATCCATTGATTGCCCGTCTCCAACCTCGACCAAATTGCCTCCCGGCTTCGCTGCTGCCTTCTGAGCCAGGCGTGCGATGGCCTTGCCCTTAGGTCCAGCTTTCTGAATGTTAGAGCTACCGCGTTAGCATCTTCCTCTTTGAGAGTAATAGTATCCTTGGGGATGGCTTCTTTTTCAAGTAGAAAAAGAAGGAACGCGTCACGTCTCTTATAGCTCGCTTTTTGTCCTATTGTCTACACGCCCGGAGCACTTAATTAATGAACGAGAAACCGGTAAGCCGCCGGCAAAATCTACAACTACTAAAGTCAGGTATGCCGACCAGACTTCTCAGGATATTTTTTGTTGTTATTCTAGTGTCTACACGCCCTTCAAATTTGATCATTGAGCGAGGAACCGGTAAGCCGTTCTCATCTACTTATATTAATCTATGAGAACAACAATGATCATCATCATGATTCACCATGATACTAAGGAGACATGCTTCAGCGGTAGCCTTAAGAATCACCCGATTCACCGGGTTGTCTTGAGGAATAGGTTGTCCAGCCTGCGGGAATTCCAACTCGGAAGGAATACATCTTAACGCTAGTCAGTCACCGTCACTATCTAAAACTAAGAGTACTTTCATCAATGGTTGATGAAAGTGATACGAATGCACGGGTTGATGTAGTGCTTTTTCACCCTTGTTAAAAATAAGGGGAAGCAGTGAATCTTTTTCTTGATGAGCAGTGAGCTGAGTGAGTTGTACTTGTGGAGGTAGCTTTCCACCTTGCATCCTTGTTCTCCCTCACAAATATCTATCTTGTTATATCTACTTGATCGCCTTTTATTGGAGCGCCGCGACTTCAAGAAGTCTGTCACAGGATCGATCTTCAGACGTCACGGATAGAAGATACTACTTACCTCACACGACCAGATACTGAAATAAGCATGTAGAGGACCTTATAGAATATCAAGTTCAAGAATGAAGCGGTGCGATGAAATTCTTACGATACACGATCGACCAGATAGTGAAATTCAAGTGACTGACTGGCCTTAAGTGTTGCAGAACTTCAGGAGGTAACTGGGGCATCACTGCACCAGGCCTTGTCATCGCAGCGAGGGTTTCGATTGTTCGCTCCGGCCCCATTGCTTCCACGGCTTGACCGAATCGCTCCTGAATCAGAGTATATTGCTCATCGCTAAGCCGTTGCCCTGCGAACCCTTCTTAAAGGTCGAACATAAAGTCATTGATCACTGATGCGGAAGGAACAAGGCACCTCCAGAGCTCTCCCCTTTCCCCTTGTTTTCCCCTTTTCTCTCACGGGATCTTCGCTCTTCGATGTCAGTTGTGACCTACGTTCGTACGACTCTCAGTGATCAATGAAGGTTGAGCCTTAACCTTCAATCGTACTGCGGTCAACACTCATTTCGCCCATTTGAATAGCGGGCGACGCGATCATGGACATCTGGATAAAAGCTTGCTCACCTCCGTTTTTTCCCCCAGCACCCAAGATTTAGAAGTACTAGAGTAGATCATCAGTCTTCTCTTCTCTGATCTAGTCACAAAGCTAGAAAGGGCAAGCACGCAATCAGTTAGTTCATCTTTCCTACTTACATGAGACCTTGTGCTTTAGATTCACATCTTCGCAAATGCAACATCACCGACTGACTCATCCCATTGTCATTATAATCTTGCTCAAATTCTCAACATGCTCATGCTGCTTAATAGACTTCATGTTAATCCCGTAACCTCCAAGTAGAAATAGAATATCTCAACTGCCTTGGATAACGATCTGAAGATGCTGAGGTACCCAGCACGGGGTTTCTTCCTTCACTGCGACTAGCTACTTATTCGAAAAGGAAAAACTGAAATAACCGAGTAATAGTAAAGTGATCTAAGAAAGAGAGCTACTAACTTAGAAGAACACTACTGTTCTTGAACTTAGTTACTTACTTGCTGTTATTTTAAGATTTCGAATAGCCTTAAAGGAGGGGAATTTGAACGTTGAAAGGCCACCCGCTCAAAGCACGTGCTTGCGGGAAACCCAGAACGAAGGGAGTCACCGGCTCCGCCACGCCCGATATCATCCGAGCAGCACTGCATCCAAAAATGACCAACAGAAAGCCGGAAAGGATCCACGTAACAATCAAGACGAAGCGAGTCTTAGTCAGCATCGGGAACAGCTTCTTCCGTTGAATGCGGGTACAACAGAGAATGTCCAGAAAGAGCCACAACAGCATCATGGAAACCGTCTGGATCATCGAGAGAGCGTAGAGACCCCCTTTGTAAGAGGAGAAGGTCGTGACGAAACTCGCTGCGCCCAAAAGAAACCCAGATTCGAAATACACTCCCAACAACGGCACCAGAGCCGGATCGAAGATAACGAAGAGAATCAAAAACGCAAGAAAGATTAGACGACGGACCATAATGACCTCTATTTATCATTGGTTGTAAGAGGTAACTGACAACGTAAGCTTCGACTTACACGAACAGCCTATCAGTATCATCTACGTTGTAAATATTCATCTTGAAGAACACGACTCGGCGCACGCGCATCTTGTCTGACGTTTTTCCCCTTGTTCAACCTTCTATTTAATTTTAATATTAAGTACGTGCTGTCAAAGATACTTAAATACATCTTGGCGAGGCGCATCTTCACTTTTCCACCCCTTGAAAACCAAAACTATCTACGTAATGTATCAAAGAAGATGCTGAAGATCTGTCTTGTAAAAGATGCTGAGCACCACCTCTGACTTCCTTGTAAGAGATATTCATATTGATTTACCTCTCTCTGACGGTCTTGGCTGAATATGATCGGTATGACGGTCTTGAAGAAGAGTCCAAGGATATTAAAGCTGAGGAAGAGGACGCTCTTTTACTTTTGGTTGCCTTTCTCTTCTTCAAGGTAAAAGATCATGCTGAATATCATGGTGAAGGAGCTGCCTTAAGAAGAAGATGCTGAGGATGGTAAAAAAGATGTTGGTCGTCAACAACGCACAGCGATAGCTCTTGGTGCTTCGTTCGGCTCTTTCTTTCGTCGCACCACCACCAACACCTCCAGGGACCATCAGCAGAGGCTGTTGTTCGCCTCCCCCAACTGCATAAGCTCCTCCAGCTTGGTCCTCGTAGGAAGCCGCTGCTTGGTACTGTTGTTGTTGCGCCGGCTGCATCGGCATCGCACGACTTCCTCCACCTGCATAGGCATCGTTGTAGTTGTATTGCGGCTGACCCGCAGTGTGGATGTCACCATTGTTGAAGCCGCCTCCTTGCTGAGGTGCAGCAAAAGAGTTTGCATACGGTTGAACAGTCGACATGATCCAGGATTGACAATGTTGGAAAAACCACAGAAGTTGATTTGAATTTGAAGATCGATTTTTATGTCTACAGCAAAATTATGAATCAATTTTCTTCAGGAATCGTTAATTTTCATCAATTAAATCGTCACTTTTACTAGGAGACCATTCGAAAGAATGAGGAACCTCATAAAAAAGCCTGCAGGGGTTCAACAATAGTCGTGGGCTCTTCTTCGTTTACAAGCAACTACAAATAGCACTTTTTTACCCGCCCAAGAACTCGAGGTGGTCGTGCCTAATTAAAATAAAGAAGATAAACCTATCTTTAGTATGAGTATTGTTGGAGGGGATAAGCCTAGCTTTAGTTAGTATAACCAGGTATCAATCTCACTCTCAGCCACGACAGATATCTGTTTGACTTCTCAAAACTCTCTTGGCCACAGATATCTGTTTGACTTCTCAAAACTCTCTTGGCCACAGATATCTGTGCGACTTCTCAAAACTCTCTTGGCCACAGATATCTGTTTGACTTTTCAAAACTCTCTTGGCCACAGATATCTGTTTGACTTCTCAAAACTCTCTTGGCGACAGATATCTGTTTGACTTTTCAAAACTCTCTTGGCCACAGATATCTGTTTGACTTCTCAAAACTCTCTTGGCCACAGATATCTGTTCGACTTTTCAAAACTCTCTTGGCCACAGAAGATATCTGTTCGACTTTTCAAAACTCTCTTGGCCACAGATATCTGTTTGATTTCTCAAAACTCTCTTCGCCACAGATATCTGTTCGACTTCTTCTCATAAGAACAAGTGATTTCTCTATTGGACTTCTGCTGCTGGCAACAGAGGAATATCTGTTTGTGTTTCTCATCTCATCCTCGATACGACAGATAGAGATACCTAGATATGATCAAGTCGAAGTCGAACACCATTAAAATGCATGCTCTTGGTACCTTCCTGCTTCTACGCGGGTCCTTGTCCTTCGCGTGCCTATTATTTTTCCCTTGCCACAGTACGGTCATCAAGCTGTTCCAAAAAATATTCTTTGTACGAGTTCTTTTCTACTGTACCTTCCAGATGAGTTCTTGACGTCGTATGTATAATCATACATATGAGTTTGCGTAAGACATAGACAATGACAAGCCAACAAAAATAACGCCATAATTCTCTACAATGTTATATGACATCAAACTAGGGCTTCAACTTCATCTTCCGCTGTTTTCATGCTCAGCCAGGCGATTTCACTATAATGTACTAGTAAGTGATTTTCATCTGGGCTATTCCTCGACCGTTCACCATATTTCAAATCTATATAACCTGTCATCGAGGAGACCAACATAAGGTCTGCAACTACGACAACAAAGGGAATGCTGAGTAGATTTGTAGGCCTAACATCAAGAAGTTGTTGATATGTCCGACAACTAAGTCATGTCCGTGTCCTACAATTACGAAAGATTCTCATCAAGACCTAGTACACCGCATCTATCCTCGTCCACTTGATGTTTCATTTCCGGCAAAAATCCATCTAGTATCCTCATTCTGCGCCTAAGGAGTCATAGGGCATTCAGCCTACCTTCAGCTTTACAGCCATCTTCTTTTTTCATTTGTCGACTCTGCGCGTCTTCAACGATTCTCCGTGTAGTCTTCAACGATTCTCCATGGCTTCAGCGACTCTCCACCACTGGTGCAACGATTCTCCACTTCTTATCAATATAGCATCTTCTTGCTCTTCAGCCATCCCTTCAGCTATACCATCTTCTCGTCTCATTGCCGATTCTAGGCTTTCCGCGTTGATCGCATAGGGACACCTCCCGCATCAATTCTCGAGTAAGGTGTCCTGGAATGCGAACCAAGTAGATTCTGGCTGCTTTCGTGTTAGAATTAGAGCTGCAGGGGTTGTCTACGTTACCATAGTAACCTGTCCTTTTTGTTTTGGCAACCTCTGTGATGAAATAGGTTTTTGACTATCTTCTAAAGTATATCGGTGGAGCACACCTAACTAGGAAACAAAAATACAAAAGAAGCAAGTAATCCAATTATTTAGAAAAGAACTATAGTGGCCACGTTTATATTAGGACCCGTTTATTTTAGGCGCTGCGAGTTCGTCCATCTGCCCTGGAGGTCTTCTCATCCAAGGCGGCCGAAGCCTGTGCATGCCTCATGACTATCTTCTAAAGTTAAAAAGATAATTAGTGAAAGACCTCCTTGTCATTTTACGAAGATGACTATCGAAGAGAAATCCACCACTTCCACAGTAAAATAGTAAGCTGAATGTGAAGAAACAAAAAGTTCTTCAAGTTTTATCCTTAATATGATCAGTAGACTTTTTGCTGCCATCCTCTAACCCTTTCGTCTTCCCATCTTCCGCTGTCGTCTCTGGTGGTTCGATATCGAAGCTGTACTTGACACCTGGCTGAATGTAAAAGGAGTCACCTGGCTGGATCGACTGCATAATGCGTCTCCCTTCACCGTGAGAACGACTTTTTTAGACATTTGTACAAGGAGCTACTGAAGTCAACAACTATCCTATCCCCGAAGGAGATTCTATCAAAGAATTGATTGATTGATTTATTGATATGCCTGACAAGAGGTAGGTTTCGGAGAGCTACTTGTTCTTCTTCTTCTTCTCTCCCTTTTTTCCTTATAATCCCCGAAGAAGATTCTATCGAAGAAGAAGATTCTACTTACTATCAGAAACTTTGACAGCACGACAACATTTCTACTATTTCATCTTTAGTTCTATCAGGTTTCTTCTCCTTGTTTGTATTAAAGAAAACTCATAAAAACTATTTTTGTCCACATGGTCGTCCACCCATGAGCCGATATGGTGATAAAGCTGCAGCTCCGTTTCACTGTAGTTGTATCCGAACTGATGCACTGCGATCTGAGACCAGGTAGAGTCCTCTCGACAAGCTGTGGTATGTTGATCAGAGGGATGAATTTCCACGTCAAATGACTTGATCATACTATGATGCTCACTGCACGCCAGACGTTCATAGAAGCAATTCCCTTGACGTCGCTTGGCACCCTGTCCGCGTCTGCTCACTTCCACTGGGAGTCTGAGGCCTTCCTCACTCACGTAAAGGTCTTCAGGCAAGCAGTGAAGCTCACGCGCGAGAATGCGGCACTCCTCGAACGTAGGTAAGCGGGGAAAATAGCTCCTCTCATAATCTACATCAGAAGGCTCTGCACGAGCGGCCAAAGCCGTCTCTCGCTCACTAGAAGAAGAAATCCCTGCCGTAGAGCTTGGAGCGTTGGTCGAGATCTCGCGAGCAGGAGTTCTTGAAGGATCATCATGTCCGAGCACAACCTCCTTTACCAACACTTCCGTCAAAGGCTGCCCCGACGCTGAAAGTGTCACGACTTAGAACTCAAGAAAACAATTCATTTCTTACGTTAATTCTTTCTATTTCTTGTTTCATCAACATGAATCTTCTGTAAGAGTAAGTAGAAGTAGGAAACAGTGAAGATGAATGAGTGTATTCTGTAAGAGTAAGTAGAAGGAAACAGCAAAGAATCAATGCATGACACGTCGTAGAAAAGAATTGTATTGAGCCTTAAATGAAACCTAAATCGTTAGCTGCACTGGTATCGCCATCCGCAACCTCCTTCTCCAACAGACGCGTTGCTAAGTCGTCTAAGGAGGAAAAGCAGTCGTTTTGTGCGTATCGAAGAAGATTAGCCCGAAAATGCGAGACCGGGTGTCGCATATCGCCACTGTATTTCTCAAGACTAGGATGCAAGCTCCCGATAGACTGGAGGCAATTCACGATACCTGATAAAGATACAAGTATGACATCCTCATGGACGACTGGAGGCAATTATTTCACGACGATATCTGCTACTTATAAAGAGGGTGAGAGACTGACACGACAAGACTACAAGCGGATACTGAGTGACTGCAGGCGATGCACGATACAGAGGGACTTGGTATCACACCAATACATGATATGAAACACCTAGGTCTGCTTGATATTACGATTAGCTAATTATCACTGATGGCAGCACTCTAAAGTGCAGCAAGTGATATCTAGCACAAGCATTGTAGGTCAAACACGAATGTACGTCTATTCTGAATTTGAAGTTTTCAATTTGAAATTTTGAGATGTAAAGGGATATCCAAGAAATTTCAGTTATATTGAATTTAATTCAAATTCATTTCCTGACGATCAGCTTTCCATTTCCAAATCAAACGTACTTGATTCGAAGCCAAATCCTCAAACTATGAACTATAGTGACCAAATCTGGCATCTGGTATCATTTTGGATAGTAGAAACATGCTGGCTAAGGCAGTACGAGCATCGAATATGTCAAAGATTTCACATTGTGGAGATATGAAACTTTAGAATGTATCAATTTTAGAGTCAACAGGTCAAAATACGAAGGTAAACTAGGTCTCTAGTACAATATGCAGCGATAAGCTACCACAATGTTGCTTGTGCTTCAGCAGTGTGCATCATACTAGTCCCAGTTATGTTGTAGTAGACGATCTTTTCGATGCTCAGCTACAACCATTGTCACTCTGCTGCACTGAATCACCACTAGTATTCATAGAAGTGGTCTTACTCTTAGTGTTCCTCCATCCTCCACGATCTCCACCCCGTCTTACTGCTCCTACAGCGACTGAAAACATGAACAGAACCTCTAGTTGTACCATTATACCAAAACAATATCAAGATCAACATCCAGAAACTATACCTGCTCCGTATGTGCATGCGATAATGCATGCGAATTCGTCTGGGGCTCCTCTGTTAGTGAAGGAATGGGGTACGAAAGGTGCAATCCAATTACTGTCTCCAGTATTCATTTCACAGCAGCGCTTTGTGCCATCGGGCTCCATGTGGTATTAGCGCTAGCTATGGTTCATTTCTCCAAGTAGTTCCCCCTGCTCTCAGTACCATGATCATGAAGAAAGATGTTGTGCCAAGCACCCTAGTATCCCTGCTGGTATAAGGACAAAAGATAGAAAAATCAATCCGTCTCTATCACGTTCACGACACGCAAGCACAAGCAAGCACGTATACTCCAATAAAAGTGAATATACATCTAGTTCTAGAACTAGAAGTTCAACAAAAAAATGAGTCTTAATAGTAGAAGTTCACTGGTCCGATGAAGAACGTGCTTTGAAATAGCAGATGCCCATTGTTGAAGGCGACGTCTGGGTTATTCGGGTCTGAATCCCTCACGCAGCGGAGCTCTCGGATCCACTCCGGCCGAAACGGACCCAATCGTGACATGGCACAATCCCGATATTCATAATACGCTGTGCGGAAACCGTCCTTGTTCTTAGAGTGGAAATAGAACCTTGATGAATCTATCATTATTACCAGGCAGATGTTGGTCTCTGCCTTCTCTGCCTTCTTCTACAGTAAAAAGACTTGGGAGGCAACATCCTACTTTATCATGCAGCCTAGTAATCAGTGCTACTAGAACAAGTTTCAGTCAAGAAAAAGCCTTGTTCAACTCAGATTGACGTCAAGTATTCATAATGTTTATCCTGTTCAGAACGCGCTTGCTCACTTCTGATTGCGTTGCGCGGCACACGCGAATACCATGAAAACAATCGTCTGGCTCGACCCAAAGGGCGTTCAAACTGACTGGATAATTCGTATTCACCCGTCTCATTAGAGAAGGTCCAAGGTGAAGGTTGCCCAGTGCCAGATGTGCTAGATGCAGATGTGAGGAGGTCCAAGGTTGTCTACGTGCATGCTAGTAGATCCATCTTCAGTAGAAAGAGGAAAACCATCTTTAGTGACTACAGATGTACCAGGGAGGGAGGCCCCCCCGTTAGTCCATTGTACTACGTTGTCCTGTTGAGTTGACGATTTCGGTCTACCGCAACAAGCCTTAACCTCAAAATTTCCTGTGCTGTCTCCAATTCGACGTTTCCATTAAGCAACTCGTCCAATAGGCCTTCCGGAAAATTGAGCTCCTGTGCAATCACGTCCACCGGACGTTTCAAATCGTTGGCTTCGGCTAGTAACCGGGAACTGATATTAGGGGATGACGACGGAACGGCCTCACTTCACCTCGCTCAGCACGGGTTGTTCTGCATCTACTTTCATGCCCATGCGCCTGATCGAATTGTACTACAACGTAGTTCTACAACACCAGACATCAAGTACGTGGTAATATGCTACAAACGAAACAAATCAGCCGTCGTGTGCTACACCTCAAAGTTGGGGTTTTTCTTTGTCAAAGCTAAAAAAGATGAACATCTTCACGATCATGTCAGGACATCTTCTAGTATGTTCTACTTCTGGGCCTTAACAATCGCTTTGATGTATTCCCTTCGTCCGTCTTGGTCGCTCAGGTAGCACAGTTCACTGTTCGCCTGCAACAAGTCCTGAGAGCTGTGTATCTCCCGTCGATTGCCGAAAATAGCCACCGCACTAAATTCCCCAGGAGCTGCTTTTCTGAGTAAGTCAGGCACAAATCGCTCACCACTTACCATGTTCATCTGCAGGATATTCGTTGAACCTGTCGCTGGGGCATTAGAAGAGGGTATTGGAGATGATCTAGAGCTTAATAGGAGGACCGCGGTTGAAAAGGTTGAATGGAGAATCAGACCTAAGAATGGACAAACAATTCATAGTCGGACTCTACATTACTCATTATGAAAAACAATACACCTACTCACTCGAAATCCCCGTCTACTCCGACGTGCAGAACGAATATTTTCTTCTTATTTTCTCTGTCGTCCAAAGTTTAGATTTCTTTGGTTTCCCAGCACACACACACACACAGACTCATGATCTTAAAAGAACCATCTTGCTTGAACTGCACTAGTCGGTCCATGGTTGATAGTTTCGCACGAAAGAGCCCAGTGAATTCGCCAAAGGGCTCCACTCCGCGACTCAGGAGGTTCTTCCCTATTTGGTCAATCACTTTTACTCCTTCTTTGGTTGATACCACAGAGCAGAGCTCGAGTTCTCCAACGCCTGTTTCTCGCGATTTCGCTCCTCTGGGAAGATTAAAGAGTCCTCCATATTGAGTGCCTCCGGCGAGTGGCGAACTCGTTGTAGGCGAAGGTCCTCTACTGCTTCCGCCAGAGACAGCAGCAGCAGTTGTAGTTGTTGCCCCAGCACTAATAATTCCTGTTCCTCCAGCACCCACATTACCATTACCATTTGTACCAAGATTTGAATTGTTCGCTGATGTTGAGGATACTCCGCCTCCACCACTGCCTTCATAGTTGCCTTTGTTCTGTCCTCCACCAGACAGACAAGCATCTTTACTCGCACTTCTGCTCGAAGAAATTCCGTCTTGAGGTGACCCCAGTAAAGGCACTCCTGCAGCTCCACCAGAGCAGCAGGACACACCAGCTCCGAGTCCCGTCGTACTGCTACGGTCCACTAACAAAGCATTCGTAGCACTTGCAGAGACCAACTTTCGCAGGGCAACGTCGGTGAAAACTGTGTCACCGTAGCATACATAGACGTTGCGGAAAAAAGACTTGTTGCTTGAAGGCTTCATGCTCTTGTTGCTCGACGTCTTCCCATCCTGCTCTCCCAGAAGATGAAAGGAATCCATTTTCTCTCGAAAGTGAGTGTAGCCAAGACGCAAAGAGTCTGCAGGCCCGTTATTCCAGAAAAACGTATTCTCCACAAATTCGATATCTAGAGCCTCATCGGCATCCGATGAACTTGGTGATGCTCCTCCAAGGGCACGCAGATCTTCAAAGGATGAGGATAGATGTTGCTGCAGAGGAGCCCTAACTCTAAGAAAGAAAGAGACCTAATTATATCGGATTTAAATGTTGATACTGTCATGAAATTGTGATACCTGCTTCTTTAAGCATATTACCTTATTTCCTCCTATACCTATGCTCCGAGAAGTAGAACTGTGGAGGTGCCAATGAAAAGAAAAGCAACCAAGAAGAGCTACAAGTCTTCTTACCTTTTCTCACTTCTTCAGAGAAGAACTGCGCATGTGCCCCAATTACGACTGTGAAGGATGATATCCCTTGATTCACGAACATCTTCACGATGTGATGCAGGATCGGCTGACCAGCGATCGGGAGAAAACATTTTTTAGCGGTAGAAGTGGCTTTGTGGTCTAGTGGTTTTGTGGTCTAGTGGTTTTGTGGTCTAGTGGCTTTGTGGTCTAGTGGTTTTGTGGTCTAGTGGTTTTGTGGTCTAGTGGCTTTGTGGTCTAGTGGTTTTGTGGTCTAGTGGTCTTTGTGAATGGCTCTGGTATTTGGTCGCCTGATTTTGATCATAAGGAAAACAAGAAGAGAATCCTTGTGATCGAATACAGGTCACCAAATACTAGAACCATACACTTTGTCCACTAATCTCGGTATTGGTTGTAGTTGTTCTAGTTCTCTTCTGAAGAGTGATAAAATGAGATATATGAGACTCCTACTCCGTCCCCATATTTTTAGTTGGATAATTCCCAATCCGGAGGACTCTACTTAAGGAGCCATTTGGGAGAACTTCGATACTCAGACTGTGGGTGCTCGTCAACGATAATGAAATACGACTATCCTTAAATTTTGGCATGTGCTGTGTGTAAGGCTCAATCGGTGGTGTCGCGATCCCTGCACACAAAATTATGCAATGCGAAGCGGCGGCGCCGCGTGCCGGAGTCTGGATCTGGGACTGCATCTTCGTGGTGGATGATTCGATGCCTTGGATCTTCGTACTGCTGGATGATTCTTCGATGTCTTTGTATACGTATCCGTTCTCAGCGATTCGTAGAGGTCCTCGCCTTGTAAAACGTATCTTCTCCAGTGATGATGTGAATCTATTCGATCAGGTGCCCAAGATGATCTCCGTATCTTCTCTTGGATCCTCCTATCGTAGAAGACCAAACAAGACGGGCCTATCCACCTGTAGCGATATCTTCTTACAGGTGGAGCTGGAGGTGTCCATAGCCTTCGAGGTGCACATGTCTATGAGGTGCAGTTGTCTATAGGCAGACGCAAGAAGCCTCGTCTTTCTTCATCCTTTTCTGATCATTGAAGAGTGACCGCGAAACGATGCCTCATTGTTTTTTTTCATAGAGTGGCTTTATGAATCGAAATTCGAAGATCTTGATGAAATAATGTAAAGATCAAACCATACGCCGAAAGCAAAACAGCTTATTCACAGTTGATAAACGAAAGCCTTCTACTACAGCTTGAAGTAGATTTTCCTAGAAGTACAACGTCGACTACTCAAAAACATCATCAACTCTACTAATATTATATATTAGTGTAACCTGAAACAAGAAGTAAATGGTGCGAAGCCAACAGGTCAGAATGTGAATGATCCGGGTCATAACTAGAAAATCTCATTAGGACCTCCTCCTCTCTCTCTCTCTATCCCTCTCTGGTATCATCTCACTGTCACTCAATAAGAATAATGTCAGTGACTAAAAAAAACGACTAGAAGGATGAGAAGTAAAACCACATCCATTGGGTGCGTAATATTGCCTCGTTGCTGAACACCAACACACTCTCCTCATTGATAATTCAACTCGTGCATCTTCAAATCACAGCTTCTCACTCTTGTTTTTTTCCTCATTGTGATCTTTTCTCTCTTTTTCTGTAAGAGACTGAAGCTGAACGCTCTGCTAGCGAAGTAGCAAAGAGCTTAAGAACCGATGGCCCATTCTATACGGGAAGACGATAAATTCATAATATTAGGGGGATCTTGGCATTCGCTGGACGGCCAGCAGGGATGAAGATCTGAGAGCAGGCAGAAAATTTTTGCGTCTTTCTTCGTGAGCAATAGCAGAGCAGAAGTTGCGGAGGGCAACACCTCGTTATGATCGTCCCCTAGAGCAAGAACCAGGATACTCGAGGATAACTACATTTGGTCAGCGTCTTAGTCTCAATCTTACTTTTTTTAACACATTTTGACGTAGTTTCATTTCTTGTGACCTTCCTGCTTGATGATGTTGAAGCAGGAATACCTGAGCTCATCTATTTCGCAATTATATGAGAATAACCCATACTGCGAGGTGTTTCATCTCCTAGTACACGTGAATTGATATTGATGGAGTAAGTAAACTAGACATCTTCAAGCATGCATTGTCATCGAAATTCAAATAATCTTGTGTCGAGCGGCTGTAACAACATTAGAAGGACATACTCGAAGTCTAGTTCGACAAACGAATCCTTGCAGGAACTGATTGTCTTCGTGTCAGATAGCAACGATTGCGTCAAAAGCTGGATCGGCTTCAACGGATGACGGATCCGGTGAAGACGTTGCATTTGCTACTTGCGTGAAGCTGCTGCTCGAAGTTCTCGAAGCGTGTATTGGCAGAAGGGATCCTGTGGTAGGTGGAGCTGGAGGCAGCGAGCGAGGCGGTTGTACGTCTTGCCCTTGTCCGGACAATGACGCAATCAAGAAATCGTACCATGGCCAACTTTTGTTCTCGTCCTCGTCCTCTTCCTCGCCGTCTTCATCACCATTACTATCTTCAGCGTCAGGATCGGACATCCCCAGTGGATGGGGCCCTGAGGGAGGCGGTGGATGCCTCGGCGGAGGTGGAGGTACTTGAGGAGCAGTGCCTCTTCTAGTGCTTCCTGATCCTGCTCCACGCCGATCAATTTCTGCTGGATTAAGATCCTGATCATGATCCCCTCTCGGGTTTGGATCTTCATCGGGTTTGCCGAAAATCGCCTCGTACCACCGCCAGAAAGAGTACGGTGTAGTGTCTTCCTCCTGCTGTGGGGCTTCACTTTCTTCATCTTCGTCGCCTTCTTCTTCTCCACAGACTTCTGGAAGTAGTGACTCTTGTGGCGCCGCTGGATCTCCGCCATAGACGATGGCCTCGCCGTATGCGAGTTTTTTACTTTCGAAAAGTTCCCAAAAGGATGGGATCTGCTCCTGAAGATGGAGGCGCACGCTCGAAGGCGCTGACTACAGTGGGCGCGTGCTATTTTGCTAGTGCCATTAGCGTGACAGACTGGGACACTAGCGGCAATCGGGTTCGGCCGAACTTAGAAAATCAGAAAGGAAAAGCTGCGATGAGCGACAAACGCCTGCGTGGCGTCGAAACCGAAGCCGGAGGTGGGCCAGCGAATATGTCACGGTGCTTGTAAAGCAAGGAGAGGGAAGAGAAGTGTAAAAGTAAATTGGAACGAATACTCTGGATCGAATAAAGAGCACTGATGGATACCGAATACTGAATATGAGGCGCTGACAAATGAGAAAGTCTGTATGCAGATTACTTGAAGAGGTACGAGTAGGGAAGGGAGGGCACTGCACTCGCTGGCCAGTCGGGTGCACTGCGTGGGATGCGTTGCCCCCAAGAATTCAAAGAGGGGAACACACTGACGCCAGCACAAATAGCACGCGCCCCAGTTAGCTACGCCGAGCGCCTTCGCCATTCTCGCATATCAAACGGATCCCAGCAATTCCCAACTGCTCTTCTCAGGTGCATTGTGCTGCGTGTCCTCGTGCGCCCGGCTATTACTGACAGCGTGGCTAGAGCGAGTATTAGAGGTAATAAATATGTCGTCGTCCGTGGTTGAGTGATCCCTTGCCTGCTCCTCTTGGTTTCCTCTTGAAATAATGCTATAAATCGAAGAAGACCAAAAGAACTTACATCTCCACAAACAGCAGACTGTGCCTAGTAGAACCGAATAACTAAGAGGGGCGGTTCAAGAATCAAGATACTCTACACGTGAAGGTGAACGTGAAAACGAAATGCAGTTACCCTTAATAGCGCCGATTGTAACAGCGACATCTTTGAGATCTGCTTTTTCTTGAGCCTTTTCTGAAGTAGAGAGGCCAACGGTGTCCTTCAGGTAACGTATCTTGTCCGCTAAGGAAAAGAGCCTCGGGTGCGGGAAAGTGTCTTAGAGCTGGCAGAGTCGCATCACTAGCGCCATGCCTGGCCCGTTTTCCCATGCATTGGGAAAATGCCAGCCAAGGATGGTGGTACGGGTGCTGTACGCTGGCGGCCTTAATTGTCCATGAGGGTGACCCTCTCTAAGTTCTCCGTATCGTCTGGAAGCAAATTTTGCTGTATCCTACCACCCTTTTCCTCCTGCATTTCGACTTCCTGCTGAGCGTCTAACCGCTTTACAAACGCCGTGCAGAAATGGCAGCAGTTGTGTCGAAGTAGATCATATTGTCCTTGTAGCCATTCTTTTTGGAGCTTTCCTTCCTCAAAATCTTTCACGACGCTTTCAACGCTGTGTACGCTCAGGTACGTGGTGCCTGTTGAGGGAATTGCGGTGGTGGTGGTGGTGGTGG